AGTAGAGGGAGGCACGCAGCAGAGTTCAGAGTAATACAAGGTCCAGAAGGACCAGGCAAGGTGACTCATACCTGTAATCCCCAGCTAGGGGAGGAGATAGGAGAATTGAGGTTTGAGGCTGTCTGGAGCAATAACTTAGCAAGACGTGGTCTTGCTGGATGTGGTGATTTGTGACTGTAATCTCAGCTATGTGGAAGGCAGTGGTAGGAGGATTGAGGTCCAAGGGCAAAAACCTGAGCCTCTATCTGAAGTGCGAGACTCAGAACCTGAGTTCAAAACCCCAGTTCTGCGACAAAAAAAGCCCCACCTATCAAGGAATGCAGGTATCACTAGGAAGCATCTTCCCAGCGCTTGGGGAAAGAATCAGCCCTACCAACCCATTTTAGACTTGGAACCACCAGAATTGTGAGATAGTAAATGTGTATTAGTTTTAAAAAGGAAAAAAAAAATCTTTCTGCAGAACTATGACTACAAAACAAAATGTTACACAAAGGGGGAAAAGACACTAAAATGTTAAAGAAGACAAATGAAAAACAGCTTTTAAACTGTTCTGACAAGTTTAACATTTTCTGAATTATTTGTAGATAAATGGAAGCTTGCTGCTTGAGGACCTTGTTTTTTGTTTGTTCATTTTCAAATTTTAAAATCTAGCTGGGCCTGGTGGCTCATACCTGTCATCCTAGCCACTCAGTAGGCATAGATCAAGAGGATTGCAGTTTGTAGCCAGCCCAGGCAAATAGTTCATGAGACCCTATCTCAAAAAAAAAAAAAAAAAAACGCTTCACAAAAAAAAGGGCTGCTGGAATGACTCAAGGTGTAGACTCTGAGTTCAGTTCAAACCACAGTACTACAAAAAAATAAAAATAAATACAGTCTCACCAAAAAATTAAAAATCATTTCAGGTATTTGAATTATATTCTTTTAACTCATAGGATGTATGGCTTGACAGATTATAATGTCCAATCTTGTGTAGGTGGTTGTAATTTGGTGTTTGGTGTTTTAAGGGGGGAATAAAAACAACCCTTTCTTCTCTTTTCAGGGATAGTGGTCTGTAGCCCTAGAGGCTCGCTCCTCCAGCATGTGAGGTGTGTCGTGAGGGTTTTGCCAGGCCCTGCACAGGTGCAGAATCTAGTGTGTTTGCCCTTGCAGTATAGTTATTCCAGACTAGTGAACAGTCAGATCCACTGAGTGTCCAGTAAAGCAGGTCAGAATGCAACTCCAGGAAGTAGTGTGCATTGGGGAAGGACAGTCAAAAGTAAGGTGGTTTCTCCAGGGCTTAGTGGACTAGTGTCTCAGTCTGCAGGAAAGGCTATTTCAAAGAGGAAGAGAGGGTGATGAGTTTGGGTCTGCACAAGAGAAGGGGATCATTAGAAATTTGTGTGGGTCTTTGCAGTGGAACTTCTTTGATGAGAATTCTGAGCCCCCACGTTTTGCTGCTACTGCTGTTTTGCAGTGATTGGGATTGAACCAGGGCCTCAGTCATCCTAGGCAAGCACTCTCCCTCTGAGCTGTAATTCCCAGTCTCCCATTTTGTACATACATATTTCAATATTTTTAATAGAATGATTATTTTATTAATAGAATCTTTTATCCCATTATGATTTAATATGATATAGTAAAAGTGGAAGAAAAGAGATTTTTACTTTCTTGTACATGATTATAGTTTGGGTTTGCTTGGAAACAGTCTGGCTGCAAATCTTACATGACTGATTTTTGGACCCAAAGTGGGCTTGACAGTGGGCTGCAGCAATAATAGCCCACCTACTGTCAGGAGAGGCCAGGGCAGGCTGTTCCATTCAGCCTGCCTGACATGGGACTTGTGCTAGACTCTAGGACCTCGTGTGTGCAGGAACAGGGAAAGGTCAGCTTCATCAGAAAAGTAAAGCCAGTAGGAAAAGTGGGGTTCTGGGTGTGCCTGCAGAACCCAAGTGCAGAGGCTGAAGCCTATATGTTTTTTGAGTTTTTTGTTGTTGTTTTTTGAGATGGGATCTTATGTATCCCAGGCTGGCTTCAAACTTGTGGTTTGACTGTCAGAGTTACAAGGGTGTACCACCAGGCCCAGTATACATTAAGTCAGAATGCTGAGAAATTGATGTAAGTGTAGGAGACAAACAACGTGTGCTTCTGCTTTGGAGGAGATTAGTTTTTGCCTTGACTGTTGACAGAGCAGATGGTCTTCTTGAGCCTCTGGAAATCAAACCTTTAAAGTCTGGTTTTTTTTCCTTCATACGCAATACATATGTAACATGTGGTAAAGATTCTGTGTGCTGATTATTTGTTCGTTTTTTGAGCTAGGTCTCATTGTGTGTGTATAGCCTAGCCTGACCTGGAACTCTTGATCCTCCTGCTTCTGCCTCCCAAGTGCTCTGTGTACTTTCTAAATGAGTGACCATTCAGAACATCCTCATTTTAAAATAAAAAGCCAAAAGGAGAAATTAAGACACTTAATCTTGTCATACAGACTTAACCACTGACATGCTCTTGAAGATGGGAGATAACTAGCCAGAGCCTCCCTCTGTAGTTCCTTGAGTCCTCATCAGAGACAGGGTTCCCCCCAAGGACTTTTAGCCATGTGGTAGTCATGTGGTAAAGTTGACTCTTGGAGACTCAGGGATATTTGAGAGTGGGTTCACCAGGAAAATCCCTTTGGAAGTGGCACTACTTGCTAGCTGTCAAATCACTCTCTTCCATGAACAGGGTTTAGATTTTTAAAATTATATAGTCAGTAGCAAAATAGGAAAAAACTCCTTGTAGTAACTGAATTAAATTTTTATTTAAAAAAAAAAAAAACACTAGCATTTGGGAGGTTGAGGCAGGAGGATTGGGAGTTCAAGGCCAGCTTGAAATATATAGCATGACCCTGTCTCAAAAAAAAAAAAAAAAAAAAGCTTTAAAGTGTAGGGTGGGGAGAGGCAGGCGGGGGTGTTTGAGGCCAGTCCAGGCAATACTTTGTGAGACCTCATCTCCAAAATAGCCAGAGTAAAAAGAACTGGAAGTGTGGCTCAAGCCATACAGTGCCTGCTTGAACTCAGTATGAAGCCCTGAGTTCAAACCCCAGTCCCACCAGAAAAGAAAAGAAAGAAACCTCCAGCAAAAAGGTCTGTGTGGCTCAAGTGGTAGAGTGTCTGCGTGGCAAGTAGAAGGTCCTGCCTGAGTTTACAACACCAGTACTGCCAAAAACATAAATCAATAAATTTTTTACAAAGACAGGTTAGAGTATCTGTTTTATATATGAGTAGAATTTAGAAGAATCAGAAGGTAATCTTTTTTATGTACTTTATTTTTAGGCTGGTCTTGTGAACTGATAGCGAAGCAGTGTGGTAGGATGGGAGGAATGGTAGATGAGAGTTATCTGCGCTGAATGGGAGTCCTGCCTAATGACCTATTCTAAGCTAGCGAATATATCTAAGTACTTTGGATCTCAGTCAACATTGGTGATAAAAGGCACCACCTTAGACCGTCCTCCAGCCTTGTCATGATAGCCCAGAACCATAATACTTTGTGCATTCTTCCAAGACTAGTCTGTTTTTCTATGCTGTTAGGAGTTGAGGGGGCTATGTTGTCTTAAGTGGGTAATTTTCTAAGATTGCAGCAACCAAGAGTGAGCAAATGAAGAGGAAGCAGCAGACCACTTCTGAATTTGCCCACCTATGCTACTAAAAGGACCCATTTCTCAGCATAAGATTTCAGAGCATTAGCAAACTGTGGTGCTATAGCGTTATGTTGTTCTATATACTGAAATTGGAAGGCGAATAAACATACGCATTGTAATTTGTAAACATAACTCAAAACTCTGTGTCTGAGCTAAGTCATTTGTGGTTGACCATTCAGATTTCATTACTATTTGACAAGGGTTTATTTTAAGATTGCTTTATGGAGCAGTTAACATTCAAGTGACTGTCAAGCCTTTCTAGCAAGATCTATTTTAAATGATCTGCCCATTAAGTAGAAAACCAAGCAAATTTAGCTTTCTACTCCAACTTAGCAAAACCAATGTAACTTACATTTTATCTTAACATACATTTATTCAACCTGTTTTTTTTTCTTGAATATTTATTTAAGATAATAGCAACTGTCAGTGAAATTTTTAAGTTACTCTTAAATATTGTTGCTTATCAAAAACAATAGACTTCTTACCAGGTTTGGTGGCATAGGCCCGTACTCTGGAGGCTGAAGCAGGAAGATCAAGAGTTTGAGGCCAGCTTAGGCTACATAGTGAGTTCAAAGCCAGCCTGGGCTACATAGTGTCCACTGATGAAACTAAGGACTGAGAAAGTACCTCAGTGGTAGATTGCTTGCCTAGCATGTACATGGCCTTGTGTTCAATACACAGCACTGCAAAAAAAAAGGAAACAAGCCAACAGACTGTAGACTTTAGGTTTAGAGAACACTGTACAGTAAGGTAGGAGAATTCATTAAGTAAGTCCATTTGTTTATTTTGGGGGAATGGGATGGAAGCTAAAGTTAATTTATATAATTAACAAAACTCTTTCAGATGGTAGATTTAGCCATCATTCGAATTTTTTTTCCCCTTCAATTCTGGGATTTTAACTCAGAACCTTGCGCTAGCACTCTGCCACTTGAGCCACAACCTGAACCCTTTTTGCTTTAGTTATTTTTTGGATAGGGTTTCACTTTTTGCCCAGGGCCAGCCTCAGACAGCTGTCCTCCTACCTAAGCCTCCTGCATAGTTAGGATCAAGGCATGTACCACCATAACCAGCTTGTTTCTTGAAATGTTTTGCCCAGACTAGCCTTGAACCTTGAACCTTGAACCTTGATCCTCCTAATCTCTGCTTCCCCAGTAGCTAGGATTACAGACCTGTGCTACCATGCTCACCCCCTCCATCATTCTAATTCTTGCCATTAGTATTGTGGCTTCCTCTCCTTTCCTAGTGTCCAAACTGTCACAGCTATAATTAGGACAGTCTTTGCTGTTTCGCAGATACAACAATTGTCAAATTTTAACTTGGGGTTTTCTTCCCTTCTCTTGTGTTCTAGGTGCTCCATACTTGCCTGCAGTGCTTATGTAGCTCTGGCTTTGGGTGATAACCTTATGGCTTTGAATCATGCAGATAAACTTCTTCAACAGCCCAAGTTGTCAGGATCTCTTAAGTATGTATGACTTTCCCTGGATGTTCCTGATTTGTTTTCTGGTTAATTTGTTTTCAGGATGCTTATTTTTACTCTTCCAGTAGAATATGTATTTGTAAGGAAAGCAACTGGTTAAAAACTATTTCTTCATGTTTTAGCAATGGCTATTTTTTTCTCCTATCGCAGCTCAAGGATTAGAGAAATGGCATTTGCTGTGCTGAGCACAGGAAACACAATTTTTGGGTTCTACAGTGTCCATGCTGGATCTGACTGGAACACTTTGGGCCCCAAAATAATGGGAGTCCTCAGATAGAAGAGCCACAAAAAAAGAAATTTGGTCCACATGATAAATGTACTTTAAGGAATGCAGTTTAAATAGATAAGAATTTTGCTGGGGGTGGGGGAGACGTGGCACAAACAATGTATACACATGTAAGTAAATATAAAAATGACAAAATAAAAGGAGAAAAGAAAAAAAAATTTTTGCAATCCTAGGGTTTGAACTCAAGGTCTTAACACTTACTTGGCAGGTGCTATACCACTTGAACTATACTCCCAGCCCAAGAATTTTATTTAGACTCTTCAGATACCTTTTCAGTATTAATGTTACTGACATCTTTTCTATCATTGAAATTGAATGAAAAACAGCATGCTTTGATTTGTTTTTGGGTTTTTGGTTTTTGTTTTTTGGGTTTTTTTTTGACAGTTTGGTTGGGTTTGAACTCAGGGCTTCATGTTTGCTAGGTAGGCTCTGTACCACCTAAGTATGATGCTGATCTTCAAAAAATTTAATCCAAAGCTGTAAGTGTTCTATAGGACAGTTGTTTTCTACCTTGGTCATGGGAATTACACTTAAAAACTTCAAAATATAACTATGTAGCCTTTTGCTTTTAGTGATCTTTATTTGCAGTGTACAACTTAGAATTGTGAAGTTACACTCTTAAGAAATAAGTCTGCAATTAATTAATTATTTATTTATTTATTTATTTGCCTTTAAAAAAACCTGGTCTAGTGGGCTGGCAGAGTGGCCCAATTGGTAGAGCATCTTCTTAGCAAGTGTGAGGCCCTGAGTTCAAACCCCACTACTACCAAAACCAAAAACAAGAGAATAAAAAAACCTGGACTAAGGCTGGAGGTAACTCAAGTAGTAGAGCACCACCTGCCCAGCAAGTGGAAGGTCCTGAATTTAAACCCTGTATCACCAAAAACAAAAAAATTCTGGTCTAGGAGGGCTGAGAATGTGTAGTTTGCCTAGAATGTGCAAGGTTCTGGGTTCCAGTCCCAGGCTCCTGTTAAAAAAAATAATAAATAAATAAAATAAGATTAGTTTGTGGAATCATCTAAAAGTTACATTGATAGATTAGGATTGCTTCAGGCCAGTGTTCCCCAGACATACCTGTGTTCTTGAAAATAATGTAAAAGAAGAATCATCAGGGGCCAGAGGGATTGCTTAGTGATAGAACACATGCTGAGCTTGCAGAAAGATGTAGGTTTGTTTGTTTTTCTGGGGGAAGAAGGAGTTGAACCCAGGCCCTTGTAAATGCTAGGCAAACACTTACCACTGAGCTACAGCACCAAGCCCAAGATCAAGCAGCAACATAAAAATTCTGAGTAGGAATATAATTTGTATAAGGCCATTGCAATTTTAATCAGTTGACCACAGAGGAATGGCTCATGTAAAAACACTAGAAGAAGCAGCTGTTCTGAGCCAGGATGATGTGCACCTGACATTGCATCAGTGGTTTTAAAACAGATGGTGTGAAAAGCAGAAAACCTTTGGAATAGAAGTAGGACTGATGCAGCAGAAACTGGAGGAGCCTGATTCTAATTCTCCACACGATAGGCATCTGTCCTCGGATATATCTCTTTATTTTAGAAGTTTATTGCCAGGCAGGGGACAGGAGGAAGAGATGGCCCAAACAATGTATGCACATATGAATAGATGAATAAATTAACCCCCCAAAAATTTTTAAAATGAAATATTCTAAATTTTTTTTTAAGTTTATTGCTTTTTTTTTTTTTTTCCTTTTTTTGTAGGACTAGGGTTTGAACTCAGGGCTTTGCACTTGCAAAGCAAGTCTTCTGCTCCTTTAACCACACCTCCAGTCCATTTTGCTCTAGTCTTTTCAAAGATGGGGTCTCAGGAGCAATTTACCTAGGTTAGTTTTGAACTGCAGTCCTCCCAATCTCAGTGTCCCAAGTAGCTAGGATTGGCATCTGGCTTATTGCCTTCTTGTGTTATTATTTTCCAAGTAGAGCAGCATAAATTTGCCAGTTTGGGGGAATTTTTGGTTTTCCTTTTCCTTTCTTTTTTTGTAGTGTTTGAAACATGGAACCAAGGGCCTCACACATGCTAGGCATGTACTCTACCAGTAACCTACACACTCAGCCCAAATTTTATTGGCTAATACAAAAATTACATATTTTAACTGTGCTGGGTGGAACAGTAGCTCATATCTATTATCCTAGCTCCCCAAGAGGCAGAGATGAGAGGGTCACTGGCAAAAGAAGTTCTTGAGACTCCATCTCAACAAATTATGATACAGTGGCTCACATCTATCACCCCAGCTACACAGGAAGTGTGAATAAATGGATCACAGTCCAGACCCACCTGGGCAAAAATGCCAAAGCAAAAAGAGCCAGGGGCCAGGCATCAATGGCAGAGATAAGAAGGATCCTGGTTTGAAGCCAGCCCAGGCAAATATTTCTGCAACACCCTATCTCGAAAAAAACCCGTTACAAAAAAGGGCTGGTGGAGTGGCTCAAGGTGTAGGCAGTGAATTCAACCCCCCCACCAATACTGCCAAAAAAAAAAAGAACTGGGGAATGTTGTTAAAATGGTAGAACACCAGACTATTCAGTCCAAGGCCCTGAGTTCAAACCCTAGTACCACCAAATAAAACTTTTTTTTTCTTTTTTTTTTTTTTGCAGTACTGGGATTTGAACTAAGGGCTTCATTCTTGCTCAGCAAGTGCATTTCAGCCATGCATGCAACCAACCTGTTTTGAAAACATTGCTAAGGATTGAACCTAGGGCCTTGCACATACTGGGCAAGCGCTGTAGCCCTGAACTACTACTTACACAGCGCCTTAAGATGTTTTTAAGAGATAAGCATGTCTTAGTCGGGCACAGGCGCTCACACCTGTAATCCTAGCTACTCAGGAAGCAGAGCAGGAGGATCTTGGTTCAAAGCCAGCCCTGGCTTCAAGTCCCAGTACTACCAAAAAGAAAAGGCAAGATGAACACGTCCTACATTAGAGTGACCTTAAATTGGTCAATTTTGCCTAAGTAAATTTCAGTTTGAATTCAAGGATATGAATTGTAAAGCTCGTGTCTCCCCTCTCCATGTATAATGTAATATAACCAATATTAGTATGCGATGTGGATTTTTTGTGATGATCTATCTTTCAGTATGGAATCTGCTTTTTCATTTTAGGTTTTTGGGACATTTATATGCTGCAGAAGCCCTCATCTCTCTCGACAGAATATCTGATGCTATTACTCACTTGAACCCAGAGAATGTCACTGATGTCTCCTTAGGGATCTCTTCAAATGAGCAGGACCAAGGTTAATGAGGACACATTTGATCAGAACTGATCACTGTTGCCACTTCCTTCCTGTCGTGTAGAAATCTAAGGGCATGGTTGTGAGGGAAGGATGTCTCAGGTCGGCTTTCTACATTTTTGGCTGCACTTAGTATATAGTAATTGCTTGCTAAGTAGTTGGTTATCTTTTTTTGTGTGGGCAGGGGAGGTAGTACTTGGGTTTGAACTCAGGGCCTTATGTTTGGTAGACATGCACTCTACCACCTGAGCCATGCCTCAAGTTCCTATCACATGATCCAAATTCCCACTTTTGAAAGGCTGATTGTGTTTAGAAGATTCTTTCCTTCCCCTCTATTCCGTCTGCCCTCTCTCTTTGTTACTAGAGTCAGGGTCTCACTGTATTGTGCAGCCTGGCCTCAAACTTCTGGGTTCAAGTCATCCTCTACCTCAGCCTCCTGAGTAGCTAGCACTACAGGTGTGCACCACCACATCCATCTTAACGAGAATTCATTTTGGTTTGATTCTTTTTTTTTTTTTATTGTTTTATTATTCATATGTGCATACTAGGCTTGGGTCATTTCTCCCCCCTGCCCCCACCCCCTCCCTTACCACCCACTTGGTTTGGTTCTGACACTATTTTTCTTTGGGCCAATTCTACAATCCAGATAAGAATAAAAATACCGTACTCAGAAAGTTAATTTTAAATTGTGTAGTTAAGTGGCATTCACTTTTTCCAGGGTTAGCGCTCAGGCTTGGAGTGGTAGTGGGTGGTAGCATTTTGACATCTTTTACTAGAGCCTCTACTGCATAAAGAGCAAATATTTGACAGATTACTTTAAATTAGGTTTCCAGTCATAAAGAACTTAGGCTTTTAGAAAATATGCTGTTTTCCTCCCCTCAGATTGTTTTCATGTGTTTGTAGGATCAGACAAGGGTGAAAATGAAGCAATGGAATCCTGTAAGTAAGAAGTTTTGTAAATGCTTAAGTAGTCTGGGCCTGCATCCCAAAGATTGAGACCCTGCATCTTTTGTGTCCTTCATTTATTTGTCAACCTGAGGAGTAGTGCTGGACTTTATTCTGAGTGACTCAAGGGTGGTGGGTCAGGCTGCCCCCTGGCCCTCAACAGCCTCTCATCAGCATCTGCATTTCTTCCCCAGCTGGGAAGAGGGCCCCTCAATGCTACCCCAGCTCCGTCAGCTCTGCCAGGACTGTGATGCTGTTCAACCTTGGCAGTGCGTACTGCCTGCGGAGCGAGTATGACAAAGCCCGGAAGTGTCTGCACCAGGTGAGGCACAGCGGGAGAAACTGTCTCCTCTTATAAAGCAGCCAGCAAAGATTTGAAATGTCTGCCTTTTATATGAGGCTCTAGTCAGTTTCTTAAACATTGGAATATTACTTTCCCAGGTTTAAAAAGATTCTTTCAAGAGAAGCAACTGTTCAGCATTGCATATGAACTTTTTTTTTTGTATTTTTTTATTTATTGTTATGCTGGAAGGGGTACACTGTAGCCTTTACAAAAGTTCTTACAGTATATCAGATATATCATAATTGAATTCACCCCTTCCACCACATACAAACTTAATGGACATTTTTTTCTGGTGATTTTAATGCTTAAAATTTAAAAAAAATAAAAAATTATTTAAATAAGAGACTCGTTAAACAAATAATGGTTTATCCATGTAGTTGAACACAATGCAGCTAGCTAATAAAGCCAAGACATACTGAATGAGCTGAGCTGGGGAGTAAACCATGTCTGCATGGTTCTGAGTGTCACGAGTGCTATGTGCTTCGAGCACAAACACAGCAGATTTGTTTACCAGTACTCTTTAGCTTTTTAATTTTAAATCATGTGAATTTATACTCAAAAAATTAATTATAGGCAGGCATAATGGTAGCTGTAGTCCCAGCTATTTGTGAGTCTGAGGCAGTAGGATCACTTGAGCCATGAGTTTGGGCAACATAGACCCCAAATCTCAAAAAGGAAAAAGGGGACTGTGGCTCAAATGGTAGAGTGCTTGCCTAACAAATGTGAGGCCTTGAGTTCAATCCCCAGTATCACTAAAAAGGAAACAAGCCAGGAACCAGTGGCTCACACGTTTAATTCTAGCAACTCAGGGGGCAGAAATCAGGAGGATCACGGTTTGAAGCCAGCCAGGGCAAATAGCTGGCAAGACCCCGTCTCGTAAAACCCATCACAAATAAAAGGGGCTGGTGGAGTGGCTCAAGGTGTAGGCCCTGAGTTCAGGCCCTAGTAACACACACACACACACACACACACACAACAAAAAGTTATAACACACCTTTAAGAAAGTCAATACTAAAGAAATTCTAGAAAAATTCCAAAGAATTTACTAAGAAAGCTTGCTTATAGCCAGGCTATGAGGCAGAGGCAGGAAGATCACAAGTTCTATGCCAGCCTGCACTACGTAGCAAGACCCTGCTTTAAAAAAACAAAACAAACAAAAACCTGCTTGCATATGAAACTAAAACAGACCTCTGAATTTTCCACTGAGATGGTGTGCCATGAGGCCTCAAGGAAGAGTCTGATTTGGACCTTTTAGGCACTTGCCCATCCTTGGAACAATGGACTGTACCTGAGTAGAGGACTGATAAATACCATACATTTCACAGAACTGAAAAGGGATGATTCCTCAAAAGGACTTTCATGCAACAGATGTCTATTGAGTACTCACTTATGTGCCAAGCAATGAAAGTAAGACTGAAAATAAGAGTACATGGCACAACCCTGCACCTGGGGGTCTTACATACAGTTGGGAGATGCCTTCCTAAAAGAAATACGAAGGAGCCAGACACTGATGGCTCACTCCTGTAATCCTGGCTACTCAGAAGGCAGAAATCAGGAGGATTGTAGTTCAAAGTCAGCTCAGGCAAAATAGTTTAAGACCCTATATCAAAAAAACCCATCACAGAAAAACCTGGTAGAGTGGCTCAAGGTGTGTAGCCCTGAGTTTAAACCCCAGTGCTGAAAAAAAAAGAATTACAAAGGGCTGGCAGAGTGGTTCAAGTGATAGAGCACCTGCCTGACAAGCGTGAGTCCCTGAGTTCAAACCCCAGTATCACAGGAAAAAAAAAAAAATTATGAGTCAGAGGTCTATGCAGAATTTTTTTTTTCTAATTCTTTTTGGTGGTACTGGGGTTTGAACTTGGGGCCTCTGGCTTGCTAGGCAGGCACTGTACCGCTTGAGGCACTCGACCACCCTCTATGCAGAATTTTTAATGTAGAAAGTTTGTACAAAATGATCCATCAGGAGAAAGTCCACATTCCCATGCTTGCCAGAAAAACTGGCTGGAGAGTACCAGCCTAGTAAGTGTGAAACCCTGAGTTCAAACCCAAGTTCCCAAAATAAATATATAAATAAATAAAAGCTACTATCTGGGACATGATGGTTTCCGGATATTCCCTGACTATGAAGGGGACCATGGTGTTGCCTATAAGTGTTGATGCTGAAAAATAACTGTACATGATATTCAGTCAATTTAGTAGCATCTGGTCAGCATTTCTGATACCAAATCAGTGTTTGAATTATCTAGGAATTGAGTCATGAGTTAAGCTAGGAAGAGTTAAAATGTCTCATTGTTCTCAGTGGCAAGGCTAGGGGCTAGGGTGTTTTAACAGTCCTTCTGAAAGTGCCTTCACACCCTTCACTGCAGCAAACAGGGCTTTTGATCTAAGATTACAGTGTGTACCATCTAGCTCAGGTTCTCATGCAGCAGGTGGCCCTGGCTGCTACCACGCTGGGAGAGACAGTTGGGGTCAGGCCTGGTTCGGGGTCTAAGGGGGTTTTGTTTTGGTCCCTTGGTTTTTAGGTTAATCCAGTGGCTGGACCTTTGTTAATTGGGAGGCCCACCCTGCCTAGGAAGGCAGAACAATGGTGTGAAGTGTTAGAAAGGGCCCCGAGTAGATGTTTCCAAGCTTGCCTACCCACTACTAACCATTCTGAACAGCAAGTAAGCAAAACGCCATTAAGTATCATAAAGTTGTTGCCTTTAATTCTTACATTTTAGGAAAAGCTGCAGACCGTGGTCCATGCAAAGGACAATAAGTGACCCAATGTTGACTAGCCACTTGGCGGGAAAAGATTTTAATATCCACAAACTGGCATAATGATCCTCTTGCCTGTATAAAGCTAGACCTAGAAATGTAAAACCTCATTTTCTGGACTGAGTTGTTCTTCCTCAGTGATGTGAGCGGAATAAGCTTCCCCACCTCACTCAAGTGGAACTTCTTAAGAATACAACCTCTGATGAGACTCCCCTCTAGCCTGGCATTTCTCCTAACGCTGCCAGGAACCAAATTAATACAAGTTTCTGGTCCTCTGGGCATCTCCTGCATTCAAACATCAGCTTTCCATACCATCTCCTATTTTCTGCCTATCACTTACCTACCCTCCTTTCCCCAAAGTGCTCTATTCAAAAGAAGCTTGCTTCTTCATATTCGCCACACATTCACTTGCCTCTCTCTCTGGCATTTAGGTAAATTTGTTTGGATTATTGTTAACTATCTGCATGCTTATTATTAGGGGGAGTAGTCCCTGTCTTATCCCCACACCCATCTCCATCAATAAGTATTTGTACAAGTACATTTTGCAATTAGACTAAGGGAAGAAGCAAAGCACTCTGGAAGCAGTGAGCAATTAAAACTAGATGGGGAAATGTGAGTTGGTACTGAGGGTGGGGCAAAGGCTGCAGTGCAAAGAGGCCTCACCTGAGGAAATGAATATATAATTTTAGCACCTTTGACCAGTGCAGCCCAGGCTCCTTAGTACTGGACCAGAGAGAAACTGCTGGCTGATGCCAGAGCTCTTGGTCAGATCTAACGGCAGCATGTTGCCTTAACCAGTAGATTATGTCATTCTAAATTTTATTATTTTTCAAGATGAGGCCTGGTGGTACACATCTGTAATCCCAGCATTTGGGAGACTGAGGCAGAAGGATTGCAAGTTCAAGGTCAGGCTGGGCTACTAGTGAATTAGAGGCCAGCCTGGACTATAGTGAGACCTTGTCTGGAAAAAAAACAAAAAAAAATCAACAGATCTAGCTTGACTGGTAGGTTTCAAAACAAAGGCATCTGAAGGCTGTCACCCCAAGACGGTAGGAAGTCCCTTGGAAGTCTGTGGGAATGAGCTTGAATAAGTTTGCTCCCTTGTTGGCTATTGTACTTTTTCTTTTGATTTTCTCTTTCTGATGTGACTTGAGTTTATATCTTAGGCTGTTGGGTTTTCATGGTGTCTTTTTTTTTGAGTAAAGGCTGCTTCAATGATCCATCCTAAGGAGGTACCGCCTGAGGCCATCTTGCTGGCAGTCTACTTGGAACTGCAGAATGGTGAGTAATTCTTTCTGCTTAGGACTTGTAGCCCTGCAAAAACTTTGTTACCGTTTTTTTCTCTTCAAAATCAAAATTTGAGGGCTGGCAGAGTGGCTCAAGTGGTAGAATGCCTGTCTTGCAAGCATGAGGCCCTAAGTTCGAACCCCAAACCCCAACTTAATCCTGCCAAAAAAAAATTTTTTTTTTTTTTTTTTTGCTAGTTACTTGAAGTTGAACAGTTGTATTTTGGACAGATGTCATTAGTAAGTTTTATAGCAAGCCAGTTTTTGCTAGACTTACTTGTTTGGGTTTGGGTTTGGGTTTGGGTTTGGTAGTAGAGGCACTAAGTGCCTGGCATTCAGCAGGCCTTGGCTTCCTGAAAGGCAGGCGACACTAAGGTTAGTACACAGTTCTGCATCTCTTCTTTTGTGCAGGTTGTCCATATTTTTAACAAGTTCTCTGAACTGTACCTTCAGACTCCTGGGAACCTTCTTAACACTTTTGTTGCTAGGCTGGGGGTGTGTGGTTCAGTGCTAGAGCATTTGTCAAGCATGCTCAAGGTCCTGGATTTGATCCCCAGTACATCTGCTTGTGCATGCAGGCACATGAGCATGTACATGGACACACACACACACACACACACACACACACATCCCATTACCCCTGCCACATCCTACATCAATGGAGGTGTGTCTCAAACAGTAGAGCACTTACTTGTCAAGTGTGAAGCCCTAAGTTCAAACCCCAGTCCCACCATACGTATGTCACTTGAATCAGAATTTCTGGCATGGAGCCAGGCACCAGTGGCTCATGCCTGCAATCCTAGCTACTTAGGAGGCAGAGATCAGGAGGATCGCAGTTTGAGGCCAGCCCAGGCAAATAGTTCACAAGACTCTATCTTGAAAATACCTTACACAAAAAGAACTGGCTGAGTGGCTCAAGGTAAAGGCCCTGAGCTCAAAGCCCCATACCACAAAATATAAAGTAGAATTTCTAGCATGGACACTCTGCATAGTTTCAGTGTACAGCTGTGGATTTTGCCTCCCTCACAGGATTCTGACACAGTCTCCACTTTGTGCAGTTGACAGTGTGGTGTGCTTGGTTTTTACTGGAAGGTGTTTTATAGGTAATACCCAGCTGGCCTTACAGATCATCAAAAGGAACCAGCTTCTCCCCACAGTGAAAACCCACTCTGAAGTGAGGAAGAAACCAGTACTTCAGCCTGTCCACCCGATCCAGCCCATCCAGATGCCAGCTTTTACCACTGTGCAAAGGAAGTGATGTCCAACTGTTACCTGAGAACCCAGAGCAGTATGTCCTGGCCCTTTTAGTTGTATCGCAGCAAAGCGAATAAATAAAAGACTGATGGTGAAGAGTGCTAATTTTGAAGACACAGTTTTGACACTGTTCTTCCCTTGATTTTTTTTTGCCAGAAGTTTACTTAAAATTAAGGATCCACAAACTTGTTTTCAACCATTTTTCTTTAAGCTCTGTCAGACTATTAATTTTGAACTACTATTTGATGTATTTGTGTCATAGGTAATTAAAACAACATCTTACCAGGACAGTCTTGCATGTTCTTGTAACTGTTGGAGTGTTGTACAATTTGACAGCGAAGACAATCAACAGTACTCAACTAGCCAGGCCAGAAACTAACCTTGGGGTGGAGGAAAGGGGATAAAGTTGATATGTGTTATGCATACTAGAAGGACTAGAAGATTCACAATAACCTATAGGGTATAATTGGGCTAAAATGGGCCAACTGGTCTGTTAAAAGTCATTTCCTAAACCATTATAGACAAAGAGGGGTTCACTGCACTGAGCTGGTTTAAGTTATTAAGCCTGTAATATTAGAACTGGCCTTGCCCAGATGTGGTGGTACATGCCTGTAATCCAAGTTACGTGGAATGAGTAGGTGATAGGATTGAGGTCCAAGGACAGCTCTTGTCAAAAATACGAGACCCCATCTAAAAAAAAAAACTAGGACTAGCTGGGTGCCAGTGGCTCATGCCTGTAATCCTAGCTACTCTGAAGGCAGAGATCAGGAGGATCGGGTTCAAAGCCAGCCTAGGCAAATAGTTTGCAGGAAAAAAACCATCACAAAAAAGTGCTGGTGGAGTGTCTCAAGGTGTAGGCTCTGAGTTCAAATCCCAGTACCAAAAAAAAAACCACTAGGACTGGAGATGTGGCTCAAGTGATAAAGTACCTGCCTAGTTCAAACCTCAGTACACTAAAAAGAATAAGTAATGGAGTAAAGGAAAATGAAGATGAATATGGTCTATGTACTTTACATAAACTACAATGATATAACCTGTTGCATTCATTTTAAGTAGGGGGTAGGGGGAATGAAGGAGAAAGATGGTGAGGCCAAACCTAACCAAGGTGCACCGTAATCATCCACAGAAATGTCACAATGAATTCCCCCTGTACAACTAATACAAGCTAATAAAATGTTAATAAATAAGCAAGTCAGACTGAGCTTTAGTTAGTGGCTCCCTCTTGTAATCCTAGCTCCTTGGTGGCATAAGTAAGAGGATTTGCAGTTCAGGCTGGCCCAAGCAAAAATGTGAAACCCTATTTGAAAAATAATTAAATGGATGGTAGAATGCCTGCTTTGCAAGTGCAAAGCCCTGAATTCAAGCCCCGTACCACCAAAAAGAAAGAAGAAGAAGAAAAAACTACAGGGAGAGGAAAGGGAAGGGACAGGGGTTAGGAGGGAGAAATGACCCAAACGTTGTATGCACATATGAATAAACGAGAAAAAAAAAACTAAAAGAGTTAGGGATGAGGCTCAGGTGATAGCATCTGCTTAACAAGCCAAGGCTCTGAGTTCAAACCCCAGTACTGCCAAAAAAAAAAATCTACTGGCTTTGGAATTTCTAGCAGGCAGTTCCAGGATCATTGCTAACCCCCTTTGCAAATGCAAACAAAAATTTAATAATTTCTTCTCAAAATATGGGTATGTGTTACGGAATTGACATCGCCTAAATTTGCTAATAGGCTGGATACGCTAAGTAGGAAAAGTAGCAGTACGGACCTGCTTCAGAAAAATTGAGGAAGTACCTACTTAAAATTCTGGTAGATGCATCGATGCATTTGGGAGTGCCCCTGGCTGTCCTCTCTCTTTATTTGAAGACCAAACACTTCAGATAGGGAAGTGAAATACACTAGCTTAGTCTGTGTGATTTCCTAATCTTCCCGCTAGAGAGGAGAGTGGCTGAGCATGTGATTTATCCAGAGCTTGATCTGAAATACTCTGTTACTGACATCAAACAGTTCCGGTAGGGGTACATAGCAGAAGTAAGTATTTATGACCTAAGTAGAAATAGCACACAAACTCAAGAGAGCGAGGGGCTTCTTCCTCCATTTAAACATGGTGATTGTGCACAGGGTGTCTGCTGCTCTGCTGCCGAATTGCAGTTGTATCATACATGCAGTCTTCCCAGGGCGATAGAGAAGGCAGACATGTCCTCACATCTGGGTCCCTTGAAGTCCCTTCCAGATAAGATGATGGCTAGGACCCTGGCTGTGGTTTGAATATGAATGTGTACCCAAAGGTACTTGGGTTAAAAGCTTGGCCTGAATTATGGTATTGTGAGATGCCATTAGTCTGGTTTAAGAGTTGGGAATTTACAGAAGGTCCTTAGATCATGCCCTTGAAAGAGATTGTAAGACCCCGCTGGTCCTTGGTCTCTTTCTGTTTCTTGGATAATGAGATGTAAGCAGTTGGCTCTGCTTCCTGTTCCCCATCATTGCAATTTGGTGCCCTCACCAGAGACCCAAAGCAATGGGATTGACCAGTCTTGAACTGACACCTCTGGTCGGTCTCCCTCCCTCTCTAGAGTGCTGGGATTGCAGGTATGTACCACCAGGCCCAGCAATCAGAGAAAATGGGCTAGAGGTGTGGCTCAAGAGGTATACCGCCTTTGCAGTACAAAGCACTGAGTTCCAAACCCAGTCCCACCAGAAAAAAAAAAAAAAAGATGGACTGCAAGTACCAAAAAATGGATCAGTGACTTGATCTCTCCCACTTGAGACCTATGTACATAGGTAGCTGCTGGCCTCAGTTATAGTATACATTGATGCTAGCAGGAATTTAGCAAAGGACACACCACTGTCCTCAGAGTATTGGCTTTTGTTCCTGTGGTCACAGGTATTTGATCACATCTGCACTGAAGGCAAGATGAGGGCAAAGGCAGTCAATCTTGATAGGAGAGTATCCAAAACAAGGCTTTCTCGGAAAACTCCCAGCCAACCTGTACTGTGGGAAGACAGAGAAGCAACTGAGTCACTAACTTGTGTGCCAGAGTTGTCTGATGGTCCTTCACATCGTAAGGGAAGACTGAAGTTTCCCAACCAGGTGAGCTTTGTGGACTGACATTGCAGCTCCTGCCCAGCCCTGCAGGGCCCACACAGTGACTTCAAACTCTTCACCTCTAGGACTTGGCTCCCACTGGTTCTCATGCCCAAGGTGCCTTCTTCCCATCTTCTTCCTGAAGCTCACAGACCATCCCATTGTATTAGTTTTGTTGCTGTAACCAAAATATCTGACATAAATAATGTAAGGGAGAAGTGGTTTTTTTTTTTTTTTGGCTCATGGCTTCAGAATTCTTGGCTCTGCTGATTCTGGGCCCATGGTGAGGCAGACCATGGTGACAAGCATGTGATGGAGGCTACTCACCTTACGGTGGACAGTAGCAGAGAGATGGAAAGGGCCAGGGACAAGATGCCCCAAAGGTCCACCCCACTGATCAGCTAGATCCAACCTCCTGAAATTTCCAGAACCTCACAAAAAGTGCCACCAGCTAGAAATTTAGGATTTAACATGTGAACCTGCAGAGGACATTTCATGTTCAAGCTATAACACCCATCTGTACAAAAAGATTTTTAAATGCCTCTTCCCTGAAGTTTTTCTGGGTATTTTATCCCGGTGTTTCTTCTGGTACATACAGTTGAGGTTTTTGGTTTTTTGTTTTTCTTTGAGGTAAGGTTTTGCTGTGTTGTCCAGGAGGACCTGGAATTTGTGGTTTCAAGTAACCCTCTGCCTCAGCTTCCTGAGTAGCTGGGACTACAGATGTACACCACCACATCCAGCACACACGCTTTCTTTTGTGGTACAATGGGGTCATATCCTGATCAACCCATCAGAAGTTGAAGTCGAGATACATTTAGCCGGGCGCTAGTGGCTCACACCTGTAATCCTAGCTATTGGGGAGGCAGAGATCAAGAGGACTGCGGTGTGAAACCAGCAAATAATTCGAGAGACCCTCTCTCAAAAAATCCCAACACAGAAGTTCAACTTAAAATTTTTTGGCTTTATGATGGTGCAGGCTGCCATTTGTTATTCTAAGAAACTAACCATGACTGGCTTAAAACGAGGATTTCATTGTTTTTCAGTTTCAATGCAATGTTCAGTGAACTAGAGTTAGGTATAGCACAGTAGTAGGGCACTTGCCTACCATGAGATTTGAGCCTCAGCACTGCAAAAACAAGAATGTATTAGGGACTCGGCGAGTTGTACACAAACTTGTAATCCCAACTACTCAGGAAGCAAAGTCAGCAGAATGGCAGTTTGAAGCTGTTAAAGACAAGGGTGCAGTCTGTGATCAGAAGACTTCCAAATTCTTTGTGTCCCTTGGGAAGAATCCATAGTAGGACACATGGGTGTAAATGGAGTTTGTTAGAAGGTAGGAAAGGAGACAGGTGCCGGTGGCTCATGCCTAATCCTAGCTACTCAGGAGGCAGAAATCAGGAGGATCATGGTTCGAAACCAGCCTGGGCAAATAGTTCACAAGACCCTTCCTCAAAAAAACCCTTCACAAAAAGAGCTGATGGAGTGGCTTAAGGTGTAGGCCCTGAGTTCAAACCCCAGTACTCCAAAAAAAAAAAAAAAAGAACACCCTTTCCAGGTGCTTTTAAAACTTAGGTTAACCTATGGGAAGAATCTGGTGATTCTTAGCCAATAATTAATGAGTGGGGAGGGGCATGTGTGGTCTCCAGGCCAGATAAGGTCAATCCAACCATCTCTGAGCTAGGGCATGGGTGACCCACACACAGCTCTGTAATTGAATTAGAAAGCTCAGAGAAAGAGCAGAATGTTCAATTGGAAATGGAATACTAAATCCCAAACATTACCTGATTCTAGCCTGCCTCAAAGCTGGTCCAGACAAAAGCACAAGACCTTAGAGTGCTTGCCTAGTGAGCACAAGGCCCTGGGTAAAATCCCCCATCCCACAAAAAAATAACTTATAAGATATTCAACAGTTTGCTATAAAATAGGTTTACTAAACCAGGAATGCCATGCCTGTAATCCCAGCTATTTGGGAGGTGGAGGCAAGAAGATTGTGAGTTTGAGGTCAGCCCAGACAAATTAGCAAGATTCTAGCTGAAAAATAAGGGTTGGTGGTATGGCTCAAGTAGTAAAGCACTTGCCTAACAAGCAGGAGGTCCTGAGTTCGAACTCCAGTATCACCAAGTAAATAAATAAAAAGTTGATAAAGTGAGAGCACACAAGGGAGGTATGAGGATAGGTAAGACACCTAAAAAACTAGATAGCATTTGTTGCCCTCAATGCAGAGAAACTTCTTAAAAGCAACTGAGGCCAATAGGAAAAGGGGACCAGGAACTAGAGATAAGGTTAGATCAAGAAGAATTAACCTAGAAGGTAACACACACACACAGGAAATCAATGTGAGTCAACTCCCTGTATAGCTATCCTTATCTCAACCAGCAAAAACCCTTGTTCCTTCCTATTATTGCTTATACTCTCTCTACAACAAAATTAGAAATAAGGGCAAAATAGTTTCTGCTGGGTATTGGGGGGGGAGAGGGAGGAAGTGGGGGGGTACAGGAGGGGGTGGGGAAAGGGGGGAGAAATGGCCCAAACATTGTATGCATATATGAATAAAAATAAAATAAAATAAATAAATAAAAAGCCTCTGAGCTCCTAAATTTAATCCTCTGTTCTGCAAAAACAAAAAGGCTTTC